TATAAGGGGCTCAATGCTCAATGTACAATCATTAATCCATCTCAAGCCTAATTCTCGTCAGTCTCCAATCTTCTTATCTTGCAGAATTTTAAGTCAATTCTTTTACTTCACATTTACCATGAATCTGACACACAGCAAATATTTTGTGGCAAATAAGACTGAGATGGTCCCATTATATAATGACTGCAGCATGATCAAGCAGTTTATATCTCCTTCAGAGAGTATACAACATAGAGATATAAATTATTTTAATCACAATTCTGCAAAAACACTTTCTACACTGCATTGCCCAACTTGGATCTTGGAAGTGATAAAGTACAGATGCCCACACTTGCAATCATAAAAATGTAATTGCTGTGAAAAAAAAATTATTTCTGATCCATTGGAGAAATTTATTACAGAAGGATGCAACTGTGTAAGTTATAACACAGAGAAAATGAAAGCAAATGATTGAAATACAGCTCAGGCTAAACATCCCTGCAAAATGACCTAGTGATTTACCTGTGCCCAGGAGAAAAAAAAATAGATTAAAGATAAATCAGGTTTGGTGGGGAATACTCTGGTAACTATAAAAAGAGCACATAAAGATTTATGAATAAAGAATTTAAAAGTCAAAGTGACATAATATCTATGACCAATTACTCCAAACATTAAAATGTAATTCTGACTTTGAGTTATATACAAAGGTGGTAAGTAATCTTCTGTAGAACTTTGAAAGCAAAGGAATACAATATTAAGATAAATAATGAGGAAAGGTAAGAATTTTTTTAATGGGGCTACTCATTTTGTAATTTTAGCTGGTAGCACTATGAACTTAAACATCATAAACTTCTTTTAGAATATTTCTCAGTATAATCAAAGACAATATTACATACTTAAAATAAACCATGTAACTATTTCAAGTTAAACACTCTTTGAAAAAAATGTGATGATATATTTATTATGATACTACTCAAGGAAAAAACCTTTATTGTAATTAAATGAAACTTTTACTTGTATTGATACATAATACATAATCAAAGTGACAAAAGAAGTGCATCAAATCCAAAGATGTCAGTTCTTTTTTTGTATTTATTTTTATTGAAGTATAGTCGATATACAGTATGATATTGGTTACAAATATACAACACAGTGATATACATTATTAAATCCTCACCCGAAGTAGTGTAGTTACTGTCAGTATAGAAAAATTTTACAGAACTATTGACTGTATTTGCTATGCTGTACTTTCATCCCCTTGACTAATTTATATTATCATTAAGATTTTGTGCCTCTTTATCCGCTTCACTTATTTCACCCATTTCACCCACACTTCCCAACCCCTCCTCCATGGTAATGACCAGTCACTTCTCAGTGTCTATAAGTCTACTGTTGTTTTGCTTATTCTGTTGTCCTTTGTTTTTAGATTCCACAGATAATTGAAATCATACGGTATTTGTCTTTCTACACCTGGCTTATTTCACTTAGTATAATACCCTCTAGATCCATCCATGTTGTCACAAATGGCAGGATTTCTTTCTTTTTTATGGCTGAATAATATTCCATCATGTATCTACACCACATCTTCTTTATCCATTCATCTATTGATGGACACTTGGTTGCTTCCATATCTTGGCTATTGTAAATAATGCAGCAATAAACATAGGTCTGCATATATCTTTTCAAATCAGAGATTTCATTTTCTTTGGGTAAATTCCTAGAAGTGGAATTACTGGGTCAAATGGGATTTCTACTTTTACTTTTTTTGAGGAAACTCCATTCCACTTTCCATAGTGACTGTACCAATTCAAATTCCCACCAACAGTGTAGGAGGTCTCCCTTTTCTCTGCATCTTCACCAACCCTTGCTATTTCTTGTCTTTTAGTAGTAACTATTCTGACTGGTGTGAGGTGATATCTCATTGTGGTTTTGATTTGCATTTTCCTGATGATCAGCAATGTGGAGCATCTTTCCATGTGTCTGTTGGCCATCTGTATGTCTTCTTTGGAAAAATGTCTATTAAGGTCGTCTGCCCATTTTTTAATTGTGTCATTTGTTTTTTGGGTGTTGAGTCATTTAAGTTCTTTATAAATGTTGAACATTAACCCCCTAACAGATATATAATTTACAAATATATTCCCCCATACTGTATGTTGCCTTTTTGTTTTGTTGATGGTTTCTTTAGTTGGATGCAGTCTCACTTGTTTATTTTTATTTTTGTTTCCCTTGCCCAGGAAAATGTGTTCAGAAAAAAAATTACTCATGCTTATGTTCAAGAGATTTTTGCCTATGTTTGCTTCTACGAGTTTTGTGGTTTTATGCCTTACATTTAGGTCTTTAATCCATTTCAAGTTTATTTTTGTATATGGAGTTAAGACAATAATCCAGTCTTATTCTCTTGCATGTAGCTGTCCACCATTCCCAACACCATTTACTGAAGAGACTGTCTTTTCCTCATTGTATATTCTTGCCTCCTTTGTCATGTATTAATTGAAGATCAGTTATTTTATATTAATAACTCTTTGCCTGTGAAAGGCACAGTTTTGTGGTATGGAGGATTTCATCATAATGAAAATCAAGAGTGTGTTCAAATAATTTTGTTGTGCTAGAGCTCTCTTTTATGAGATAGTTCCTGAACATAGTAAATATTCTATAAAGTATTGGTATTTTCAATTAATTTAACCTGAAAATTGCTAAGATCCTGAAACTTTTTTCTCATTGGGATATTGATGAACTGGCATAACAAACCACCTTTAAGAAATCAATAAACATTTTCAAAAACACTGACAACAATCTTAAGGAAGATAAAATTAGCAATTAGAGACATAGCTAATGAAAGCTATCTGGCATGTAATAAGTACTAACTTCCCTTTCCCTGACATCTACTTTCCATGCAGATCATGAAAAGTCTGAAACCAAGGTGCTACATCAAAAGCCCTCTAAAATTAACATCATCATGCTTTTTCAAAGAGCTAAGTTTCTTTCCAATCAAATAAAATTACTTCATGTTATTTTCACCCTTCTAATATTCTAAGTGGACTCAATAAATATTTATAGATTACCATAATAGTTTTAAACTTGCCATAAAACACACACAAATGGTGAAGAGCATACTCTTTAACATGAATCTATTGGCTACTATTACAGTGTACTTGATTCAAGCATAACATTTACTGGTTTCAGTTAGAATATAAAAGTAGTTTCTCCATAATGATACTTTCTCTGTTCATAAGCAATATGTCAGCATTCTTTGTTGACAAGTCTTAAGTGACCAACTCTACTGTTACATTATTATAGGACAAATAAGGGTTATGCAATAGCATTAATATACTTGCCTTTACCATCCATCTCCAAAATAAAGGCCCTTTGCCCCACCCCACATGCAGTAATTGCAGAGGAACAAAATCTTAAGACTTGTGAGAACTCTTTTAAAACTTTCCCCTAAAAATTTAGTGATACAAATGGAAAAACATAAGAATTCTCATACGTTGGCTACTTGCTTTTACATTTAATAACTAAGCCTAGGGAAATAATCTGCATTGATGATAAAAATTTATATACAAAGATAATACACAGCATTATTTACAATAGTAAAAAATAGAAAAAACCTAACTGTCCAAAAATTAGAAGCTACTTTAAAAAAACACGGTGCAGTCATGAAATTGAAAATTAAACATCAATTTTATTAAGTCATGCTTACAAAGAATGGGTAAATTGTCAAAATATCATTTTAAATAGTAGAGTGAGATAAAACCTACATGAACAGTACTATCTCCACCTTGTTCACATATATCCTTTGTGTGTGTGTGTGTGTGTGTGTTCTTTGATATTACAAAGTACTAAGAAGATAATAAAAATCACCCATTATTTTACTATACTGGAAGTAAATGCATCAAAACATTAGTGTTTATCTCTTGATGGTAAACTGAGTGGTTTTTTATTCTTTTGGTTTTGTTTTGTTTTGTTTTTCCAGTTTTTTCAGTGAATTTTATCAAAAAACAATAAGTTTTTTTGTTTCTTCTTAACATGAGAAAGTTCAGTGAGTGGCTAAGGTAGGGATTTTAAAGAAATCTCCATAGTCATCTAGTGTCAATTTCATACCAGATCTTATTGCCATTAAGACTGCCAAAGTTCATTATTAAATTTCAACAGTGAGGCATATTTTGGAACTGTCTTTCCAGTAGCAGATACCTACTGTGTGAAGTAAACAGCTGGACTACAAAGTCTATTTTCAGAGTTATTCCCCTCCCCACAAAGAAGATATGCAGAACATTTCTAAATCATCAATGGTAAAATCAGTTTCTCACTCAAGTAACCCTGGAATGCTACAAGGTCTTATGGAAAAGGACAATTTGTCTTAGGAGTATGATACAAGGTAAGCCTAAAGGGGAATTGGCTTACAAATTTTGGGTTAAAGACAAAAAATTTAGTCTATACTATGTATGGTAAAAGTTTCTTCAAGTTCTGCTTCAAGAAGTCCCATAAACAAAACCTGGACTTATAGAATAAATCAGCTGGAGAATCATTATTCATATTATCAAAGGACTATTCACCTTATGAAAGACTTGATCACAGAATTTCTTAGATAACTGCTTTTCTCATACTTTTTGGTATTTCAAAAATAATTTCCTGTTTGACAAATGAGCTACCCTGTGCCTTGGAGCAAGTCACTGAATTTCTCTAGGCTAAGTTTCCTCATCTATATAATCAGAATGGTTTTAATCATGCTGCCTGCCTCACTCAGTTTTCATGGCTATCAAACAAGATAATTTACAAAAAGGCACTTTGAAAACTTCATATACTATCATTACTGTTGTTGCTTTTAAAAGAATCTGGGGAAGAACTTTCAGAATTTTATTACTATTACTAAAGACATGCTTTTTTACATTTTAACAGTACTTTAAGGACAATTTTAGGTGACATATTTGTTCTATAAAAATCAAATCTTTCCTTGGTTCATTATCTATTTTTCCTGTTTCTTAGTTCTTCAGTTACTACACATGTAATTTCCACATTAATACCTGGATTATAAGAGGCTCCAGTAGCTTCTCTACAGTGAACGTTTGGATCTGTAGATCCCGAGGATCGATATTCAATGTGATTGGAGTGTCAGCTGACATGCTGCCTGTGCAGAAAAACAAAAAGACACTTCTTAATAAAGAAAATCCATTCTAGAGGAAAGTACTGATGAGAATCAGTATGTGAGGCTTATATTCAGCATGTCTTCCTGATATTAGCTGCATCCCTCAGAGGGCCAGGGCACCAAGTCCATCAACAGAGTACGAGATATTCTCCAACTGCTCTCTGAGGTCATGCTGTCTGGGCTCAGGTCCTCTAACACATTAATCTATGGTAGTATGTTCATGACTAAAATAATAACCCAGCCCAGCGTGTTTGCATTTGATGAGCAGTCAGTCGTAAGTGAAAAAGAATGGCCGACTTGGTAGGACATCTTACAGCATGCAAGTCCCTTGACTTCCATGAAGTCACAGCACTGAGGCAGCCAGAGCCCATACTTTGCCTATTCTTATTAATTATGACTCAGGTGAGGAACCGGGGGGGGGGGGCTTTGGAAGGCATGTGATAAGTCTCTACTTGTTTGGGGAATTGTTTATTTGAGGTTTTTGATTAGAGAAGAAAGTTGGGAGCAACTTACTTTTCTGTACAGAAAAGAAATACAAATCGTCATAATTATTAGAAAGAGAGAGAAGCAGCTTCTGAGAACATATTAATATTTGGACAGAACAAAGTAAAAAAAATTACAAGCCTTTCATTAAGGCATTAACATTAGTCTTAAAAAATAAACTCAGTGAGATTTTTTGTAAGAATATTCATATTCCAAATGATCATATGTGGCATATCATAGCATTCAAATTAACACATTGGCTATGAAAACTATTACCCAGATCACTAAGCCCACAAATTTGTATGAACTTGTTCATAGTCAGTAATCAACCGGCAAGTATTTACTGAAGGTCCACAGAGATAAACAGTAAGAAAAACATCTCTCCTATATATAACTTGGCCTCTTAAAAAAATAAATTTATAGTTCACAGAAAGGTGTTACTAATAATGCAAAAACTTCCCCATTTAGTTATCTCACATTTTCTTCTATAGGTTCTTAAATTTTCAGGCTAAGAGAACAGACTCTGTCCCTAGAAAATATCCTGATATTCCCTAGGACAACCATGGAAATTAAAACAAAAAGGAATTAGAAGGTATTACGTGGTTCCCCCTTATTTGCAGTTTTGTTTTCCACAGTACCAGTTACATGTAATCAACCACAGGCCAGAAACAGATGATCCTTCCTCTAACATATTGTCAGAAGGTCAGTAGTTGCCTAACGTAAGTCACAGCGCCTATGTCATTCATTTCACTTCATCTCATCATACAGGCATTTTATCATCTCACAGCCTAATAAGAAGAGTGAATACACTACAGTAAGGTGTTTTGAGAGATATGACATTCACATGACTTTTATTATAGTATATTGTTACATTGTTCTATTTTACTATTAGTTATTGCTGTCAATCTCTTACTGTGCCTAATTAATTAATTAAATTTTATCTCTAGCATGTATGCATAGGAAAAAACATAATATATATATAGGGTTCGGTAATAGTCATGGTTTCAGACATCCATCGGGGGTCTTGGAACATTTCCCCTACAGATCAAGAGGTGGCTATTGTACTTTTAGTTTCTCTATTTATTTTTTATATATAAGTGCAGATAATTGTTTTCTTTTTAACTGGCTGATTGGTTCTATGAATGGATGATAGATGTATAAATAAATGAATTAATGAATAAGCACACATTTTTATGGTGTCTCTCTTGTCCAGACTCAATCCCTTCAATGTTCCTCTCAATCTCAGTGACTCTAGGAGAAAGGATTGTTCTTTTTTCCATACTCCTGTCTCCAATGCCTAACAGATATCAGAATCTCAGGGTAGGGCCCATGTTCCCAGCTCCTTCTCCTGAGAGTCTACCCCCATTCTCCTCCTAGATGTTTTCAACTTCCACCAGCCTAATTCCATAAAATGAGTATCTCTTTGCTCTTAAAAAATCTTCCACTCTACTGGCTCTTTCCTCTGGGTCCATAATGTGTTACTCTGTATATTCAAAGATAGTCATGACTCTCTGTATGTATGGGTAAGTGAAAAGATCAGTGCCTCACTAAGACCTTTCCATGCGATACACCTGAGACACATGCCGAGAGAGACAAACAAAATCATCTTGTAACTAAAGAGTCATCTGCATTGGCTTTTATCTTAATGTACTCTAATTTTTAGATTAATAATACAATCTGTTTTTAAACAAAGTCTAGAAGCCTTACTGCTCTTCAGATATTATACCAGAGCCACATGACTACATTCCACAGTTCTGTTACTATAAAAATGCATACTTGAAATATTCTTTAGCATACTAAGAATCTGCCAAGAGACTATCCCCAGTGACTTAACACAGAAATCTGTACATAATCAAAATAGGGAATTTCAAATATGCTTACAACCAAATACACTCATAATAATTCTTTCATGTGTCTTCAGCCAAATTTGATGTTAAAAACAGATAATCATGCTAAAAGTCTCAAATGAGACAATGACAAATCTAATAATTTTTAAAGCATTAACTACAATTACATACTCTTACAATTACATATAGTAAAGCTGATTATACTATCCAAAACACTAATACATACTAATCACTTTGTGTTAGCATCAAAACATGTTTTAGTCAACTTAGGAAATTATAATCAGCAATTTGAAGTGGGAGAAAAAGACAATTTATGTCAATTTAGGAAATTATAATAAGCAATTTGAAGTGGGAGAAAAAGACTGTCCTATGGTTACTCTAGCCATATTTTCAAGTAGCTATAAAACATTATTCATCTACAAAAACCTACTGTACATATTGAGAATTTTATATAAAACCCCCTAGCATTACTGATTGCAGAGATAGAGTACACTTTCTGAAATGTAGCACATTTGTAGGTAGTTCTTAGTGACCAAGACCCAAATGGCCTGCTCGGGGTGTCCTTACCCCCTTTTCAGACTGCCATGTGCTTTCCGTTCTCAGTCTATGCTTAAACTCTACCGCAAGTACTTAACACAAACTGCCTGTAATCACTTTACCTTTCAAAAGACATTTTTGCCTTGAAAAAAATTATTCAAATTATATTGAGAAGGTATTCTTTTAATTTCTTTTCAAATGAAAGCATGTTATCATTATTATCCTGATACAAAAATATGGAAAGTCACAAAGCCCTATGATTTAGCCCTTTACTAACTTTCTTCCCTCTCTCCTTTTCTCTGGTTCTACTTCCTTTCTAAAAGAACAAACATGATCTCTTTTCTCAGCTCTCATGTGAATGTAGGATACGTGCTTCAAGAAAGGCTCCAAACACTGTTGCCAAATGTTTTTTCTCGAATGCATTTCTAGGACAGAAATGGTTTGGTTTGGTTTAGTTTGGTTTTGGTTTTGGCTTTTATTTTTTCCAATCATTCCACTTACCACTTTGATTCCTTTTAACACAGGCAAAGCTAACTTGACAGATAGGCTATTCCCATGGCGACCTTTCAGCATAGCCCAGAGCCAATCTATGCAATAAAATATGTCCTTCAGTCTCCATGACCATAGGGTTCTATCAAATTAAATGAGTGCTCATGAAAGGGTTTACTTATTACCCCTCTCACGACAGGTACTACCCTACATAAATCAAGATTGCTGCCATGGCTTTGTTCTTTCATCTCAGAGACAAAAAGGAGAGGACACTGTTGTGAACTAGAATAAGATCTAAGAGAACTTTCTTTCACAGCCTTTAAAAACATGTCCTTTCACTGCTGAATTCACGATGGATTTCAAAGCTACACTGAGCACCGATATACTGGATGCAAGGAAAATAAAAGATTAAAGTGAGCAAAAATTATCCACATCATATGGAATCCTGCTAGGAGAGTATTTTCAACAAAAAGATAAAGAAATATAGCCAAAGAATCTTCTCTATCTGTGATCTTGTTTTTAGTAAACATTAAGAAAGTTGTTTCAAAGCTTATTTTTACATGGCAAAAATTGTAAAATAATAAACCAACAAGTCCTTGAAGAAACTTGGCTACACATAATCATTATTCTTTGAATAAATGCTGTTCTTTATAAAAAAAAAAAGCTTTTGGATCTTTTGAATCTGTCTTATTCAGTAATCCTGATTGATTGGAGATCAGGGCAATAACAGGCAGAAAACTGCAGAATTCTGCAATGAAGTCAAAGCAAGGTCAAAGTCTGACAAACTGTTACCAACCTCCTGCAGCAATACCGCAGTGTGAATCCAAAACAAAAATCCTACTAGGTTATGGGTATTATATTCCAAGGCGTTTGCATTTTATAACCCATAAAATCATAAGGGTTAGAGAGTATTTCCCAAACAACTCAAGAATACCTCCTACAACATTCTTCATTTCCACAACATTCTGGGCTTGGATGAATAGAAACGATGAGATGCCCATTATATGATTAGGTATGCCATGATTACTTTTATAAGGTTCTTCTTTACGTTGAGTTGAAATCTGCTACTTTTTAACTTCTGACAAATAGAGAGAGCTTTATAAAGTGGGAAAGGTACCAGTTTGGAGACAGAGAGAATAGATTAAAATCCCAATTTTCACAAAAGCAAATTAATTTGCCTATTTTAAAAATGGCAGACCATCCTAAATTGTCTGAAAAGTCTGCAATTAATTTTACATCTTCCTACATCATCACATACAAGAAAATAGACTTTAGGGAATGTAGTTTTATGGTACTACAAATTGTAACATACCTGCCTTTTCTACTTAATTCAATTCCCTTATCAATGCTTGTTCCACTTTTGCCAATTTGACATCATAGTTTATGTTATCTGCCATCTGTTAATCTCATAACAGCTGGCTTACACAGAGGAGCTATTCCTTCTTTATTCTTTTTATTTCTCTTTCCCTCAGACTGTAACTTTGGAAGTCCCTTTTTCTTTCCTTTAGCATTTCTTCCAATGCAAGCAAATGAAAAATGCTTCAGCCTTCCCAACATTATTTTTCATAGTTTTGGCCATTCTCTTTAATTTCCTTAAGTAATGTGTCCCTCTTCCCATCTTTGATT